TTTTTAACAACCATGCTTTTCTATAGCATTTGCAATCACAGAGCTTTTGTCCTTATGACGTCTCAGAGCACTCTCATGTACATATATATAAATATAACATTACTAAACATATCTAATTGGCATTAATTTAATGACTTCAATTTTGTGCTCATAATCTTGGGAATGGAAGTGCCAAGTTTTATTTTCAAATATAGCGGTTATTATCATTATCTAGAAAAGTAAAACTGCATTAGAAGAGCATCATTTTGTTTGTAAAGTCATCTGTTCAGGGGGTTAGGAAGTCCCAGATGAAAGCTTGCTGTGCAGCTGCAAAGAACTGCTTCTATATTTTATCTAATGACTATCTAATATGAGGTACTTAAAAGGCTCTACAGCAGAAGCTGAAACACGGGAGTCTCTGTTCCTATTAATGTTTAATCATTGTACTGTAAAAGTATACATATATTTTAGATATGATAGTAGAACAGTTTAGCCATAGGGTTTCAAAAGTGATCCTGCGTCAAAAAAGTCAGTAATCCGGTGGCAGTGTCGTTCTCCTGAATTTGGATATGTATTCCTCAGGTCATCATCCCCCCCCAAAATTTTCTGGCATCGAAGCCACTCCGAGAAAAATCGTGCCATCTCTTACCCTTGGCTGCTTGTCCCTGCTCCTCAGCTGTGCCAGTGCAACAATTTGTAGGGCTGTTTGCAAACCAGATCACCACAGGCCTGCAGTTTACAAAGGAGCCTTTCAGACAGCTGCAAGGGCACAGCTGAGGGCACAGAAGGGGAAGGGGACGTTTTCAGATGATTTTCCACTACAGAAAGTGTAACGTCAAACCCTGCCCAGAGAGAGAGCGGGATTTGAGGCCAGGATTTGAACACCACGGATGAGTGCTCTAACCAGAGAACATTGAATAAAAGAATCCCTTGATTCTTGTTTGAAAGAAAAGTGTGATCCTCTCTTCTTTTAGAAAAAAAGTGAATCAGGCTCCTGCCTTCTGGTTCAGATTCTGAATTATGAATCCCAGAGAGAAACATCTCCCAATAAGAAGCAGCAAGGTAGCTTTTAAAACTTACTTCTGGATCTCTCTCTTTTTTCTTTTTTTTTTTTTTTCCTAATTTTCATTTAACTCAGTACTGCAAGTTTTCTGTTAGAAGCTGTGATCGATCTACTTATATAAACATCCATCACTCCCGTTACTAGGAAACCATCGGGTTTTTCCTCTAAAGATTTGTTATAAATAAGTACCATGTCATGAAATAAGATCCTTATGTATACTACCTCTGTTTCCAACATAATTAAGGCCAGGAAAAAACTAATTTTGGTCTAATTTGCCAGTTACATTAAATTATCTTTATGAACCATTCATACTTATCTGGTTTGGACTACAGCTTCATTGCATTCTGTGATCCTGAGAGTAAATCTGAATAAAGGCTGAAGCAGATTGAATAATACTTGCCTTTTCAAGGTCCTGTCTTAGAAAAGAAAAATATATGTATGTATTTCATATGTAAGCAACAGGAAGAAACCTCCACCAACTCTGCTGGTGTCTTCAGGTCATGAAGTGTGTAGTGTTCAAATTCCTCTTACACTGACCTCAGAAGAACTGTACAGAAGAGTTTAGCTTGTATTCTTGAAAAGAGCAGTGGTAGCAAAGAGCTGCAAAGTCCACAAACAGAATTCTCCTGCTTCTCTCTTAACTTGTTAAGACCCAAATGTAACACAGCAAATATTCCAGCAGTAAGCTTAAAAAACTGTGAAATTTATTTCTTTACTTCAAAAACATTTCCTGTATCTAAAGATTCAAAATCTTACTGCTGACATAAGCCATAAATGTGCAGACTGCAATAGTTAAGACTCTATAAGGCTGGTGACTTGAACAATATTAAAATAATTTTTGGCAGGAATGTGAATAAAATAGTGGATTATAATTTAGAATTTCCCTTCCAGAAAATAGTAGATTAAATAAAAAATTCTACATTGAACAACCCCCTAAATTTTGGAAATTTTCCCATTGGAAATCTTAAGCCAACCTGAAAACCATGGGACTGTTTCTTTGTTTTACCACTGTTAAATATTTTTATTCATTGTATTTAAATGCTGCAACATAGTTCAATATTTAAAAGATAAATGTAAGACAAACATAAACATTTTACATGAAGCCGTTCTTTCCTAAACCAGGTTCTCTATTACCCATAGCTTTCTCATTTCATTTGAACAGTCCTCTATTCTTTCTATTATTATTTTCACAGAATAATGTTGTACATTCCCCGAATGTTATGTTCTGTGAAAATAATGACTTGGGCCTAGCCCTGGTGTCTTCGACCTTTTGGCTCTGTTGAGCATGTCTTTTAATCTTTGAGATCTAAGCACGTTCGCAGCCAGGGAAGCAGTCACTTATCCTCATTAGCCTCTTTGGTTAGATAATGGCTTAAATCAGTCCATTGTGAGATTTAGTGTCTACGAATTTTCTTTTAAAGAACAGTAAGGGAAGTGCTAACAGCTAAAGCTTACATCCAGGAACTGGCACAGGACTTTAACTTCCTTCTTAACCTCAGTGCGTTCAATTCATCTTCTATGTTCTAAGAGATCATCTTAATGCCTTGACTAGAAATTAGTTAAGGATGGGGTGCTCTTTTATCACTTTACCAAAGCTGGGCAAAGAGTTCAAAATTAGTGAGATCAGAGACAGAGCACGCGACAAGAGACTGGAGATTAGGAAACGCTGGCAGGTGTTTGTAGTCCTGCTTCTTGTTACTGGGACTGTTTATTTTATTTTATTTATTTTTATTTTTTTGAAATACATTAACAGAATGGAAGAAAATGGTACCTTAACATATTTTAATTATCTATACTGCTAAGAAAGAAACAAATTTTGCAGAGCCAGTCACATGGCTGGATTAACAGTTCCTAATGGGCCGTTAAATACTATGTGTTTCTCACCTCTGAGTAAAAAGAAAACTTGGCCTTACATCTTTAGAAAAAAAAAATGAAAGATTTGGAACAAATGCAAAATTTACAGTCATTACAGTCATGCAGCTTTCTATAGATTAGTTTGCATTAAATAATAATAATTTAAAAACCTAACACTATCTGCGATGCAAACACTAAATGGAAGTAAAAATGTGTAAAGACCTCACTTAATATTCTCCATGGTTAAAATTTCCTCAAAGTAAAGCTTTTCAGATTATCCTCAAACAACATACTTCTGGTTTTTCAGTACTTTTAGTTTGCAGCTCAGACCTTACAGCCACTGTACATTTTAGTTCAGTTTGATGCAGAAGCTTCTTGAAGCAGAAGATATTTAAACTTGGCATCTCAGTCAGGGTTTTAATAGCCAATGTGAATTTAATCATCTAGTGAGTAAAAAATAGAATTGCACATACAGAAATCATTCTGCTTTGTCATGCTGTGAAAGGGAATTCGGTCTGTGGCTTTATTGTCTGCAGTGTCACTGAGATGTACCTTTCAGTCTGTTTTTCGTTTAGTGTGGTTATTTTGTTTGTTTGTTTTCTCTCACTCTTGGCCCTAATATTGCTACCAATATACTCCTCTTTGGGTGAATTGCATTTTTTTCATGAAGCAGACAGTGAGTAACAGTCATTATAGCCAGACTTTTCCAAGTACAACATCAGTGATAAAGTTTTGCCAAACCCATTGAGCATCATTCTTAGTTCCAGTACTACTAGGTCAGTCTAGCAGACTGCCAATTATTTTGAAATGTTTCAACGTGAAGTGACTTATTCAGCATAAGAGTATATACTTTGCAAAAGACATTCTTTAATTTAAAGTCTGTGGTTGAAGGAAAACTGTTATTTTGCATTCGCACATATAATATATGTATTATTTGTAACACATTTTAAAAAGCATTATCCAAAACCATTTCAATTCCAGGCTTCAGTATACATTTCCAAAGATGGAAAGTGTACTTTGCATAAAGACACATACTTTGGAACTAGGAGCAGTCAATGCTTCTTCATTAGTCTTAGTTACTAATTAAATCTCAAACTCAAAAAGTAATTTTAAGATAGGTGCATGATCAAGACAGAGAATCAAGTCACGTGAGCCATGTTTTAAGTTGTGTTACTGGCTTGTTTTGGCTTTTCACAAATCATTTCCCACCTCCCCAGCTGTGAGTGAACAAGCTGTTATTACATGTTATTACCTGAAAATCACTAGGACTTCTGAGAAAAGACTGCAGATATACAACTTCCTCTCAACTAGTGTTCTTGCACATGAACCATCTCCCATCTCAAGGCTGATTTTGAAATGATCATGCTGTGTTTACCTGACACAGACTAGCATCTTAAACTCTAACGTCAATAAGTATGTGAAGTGGCATTTGTGTTACTAATCCCTCCGAAACCACAGGCATTACTTCTATGAGTTAAGCAGGACTTTAGATACATAAGAGGTGCCTTAGTTCTTCATCAGCTCTATCAAATATCATTGAGATTTACAAGGTATAAAACATATAGATATGATATTTTGAAAATTAAAAAAAAGAAAAAAAAAAGAAAAACCTTAAATTATGTTTATGTTGGGTCTAGGAAGCTTTTGTCTCAGTGAGGCATCTATCTTCCAGTTGTGTTTGAGGTGTGGGCAGAAAGCCTCCTTTTAAGCTCCAGAAGAGCAAAGCATGGTAGGTCTGCTCTCAGTGCACACTGGCAGCATCAAATTCAATGGAAAATACAGAAAGCACAGTGACTTTTTTTTACCAAATCTAGCCCCTACTTGCGCAGTGACTCAGGACAGGCCTTTAGTTGTGCTGGTGCAGCTCTGCGCAGATCAGCCAGCACAGGCTTAGGTGGTAGCCTGGCACTGATGCCGGTACAGCAAGAGACGTCTTCACCGCAGCCTTGGAGACTGTCCCTCCCCACTGATGGACCTATGGGCCAGAAAAGTCCAAATCATTCAGCTGGAGCCCAATGTCCATGACTAATGGGGCCCAAGTAAATTAAGGAAGCCAAGTATGGCAACTTTTATGATGCATTCGTTACTTTAACCTCCCATCTAGGTCACAGCCTCGGTCCAGCGAAGGTGTCTCGGGCACAGACGTTTCCCAGCTACCCCTCGGAGCAGGGCGAGGAGCACCAGCAGTCCCTGGCGCTAGCCGGCAGCTACGGAATCAGCTACAGCTCAGGCCTCATCCAATGACACCCAGAGAGCGGCTGCCCGAGAGAGACAGTCTAGCCTGGGGCCTGCCACCAGGGTCAGGAAGCAACGTGCACCCTCCGCACCCACAATTTGCAGTGAAAACTGAGGCCTACCAGCTCCAGCCTGGTCACAGCAAAGGTTGAACCCTGAGGAGGCAGCTTCCCTGAAGCAGAGGCTAAGTTGTTATTTATTTATTTTATCTTTCCTTTTGTTAAGATGTTTAGAAAGGAGGGGAGGGGGGGAAAGCATTTGTGTTGTGAGAAAGTGATTGAAACAAATGAAACTGTGTTGGTGTGAAGGTATCTGCATGACAGGAGAAGGCCCGTTCTGGGCTCTATCATGATGACGCATTTTGACATTCTTACCCATCTCCATCGTCAGGTCAGCTCATCTTCACTGATAACATTTTTAGGTCCTTGTTGCAGCCCACTGGTTCCAGCTGGAATTGTTGAAATGCTGCCAATTAAATAAGCAGCATAGATAATGTAGATGTTACCCTTAGAATCAAGCAAAGTTGCTAATTATTCAGAGGGTCAAGTGTTATTTGAAGCAGACTTCAGTAAGTGCTGGAGTAGCAGGCAGATACTTAGTTATTTGTTGAGAATAGCATTTGGTGCCGTAAGAGAAGGTTTCTACCTAGTGTGTGTCTAATCTTAAATTCCTAGGGCACAAATCCTGCCCTTACTAATATGTGCGTAACTCCCATGAATACCTCTTAAGAGCTGTGAATGCGCGTATAAGCAGCAAAGTAGAGCCCTTAGAACTGCCAAGAAGTCTTCTCATTTGCAATTATTTAAATAATCTTGCCTGCGAGCATAACTTTAAACAGCAGGAAAACTGTTCTTCAAACAAAGAAATGTGGGCTGCATTCCTGACTGACAATCTCATATTGTATAATGCGGGCCAGATATGGTACAGAAGTTGAGCTCTGGTCTTGTCTTTCTGGTAAGTGTTACTTTGACTTTCTATGTTTCTTTCTCAGCTTTCTGTTTTAGATGCATATTGTATACTGTATGATCATGGATCAGGTATCAGTTTGCATTGAAAAGGATGATGAGCACATCTCAATGGAAATTTTCTTTCTTTGGAAGATGTCTTTGAAAAATGAACTGTCGAAGGTGTGTTTGTAATCAGTAAGGAGGGAATAAGTTGGAAGGCATACCTGTAGGCAGGGAACAAGTTTTATGTATCCTAAATATTTAGATTTTTGTAAGTGGCATCAAATATTTATGTACTTCTTGCGATGCCCTGGAATGTTTGAGAATATGGAGAGAAAAATCTGCTGTCTTGCTGTTACACGAGCAGGCCCTGCGTTTTATTCCCAGTACCAAACTCTCTGCCATGACTGCAAGAGGAATTCTTCTCATTGAGTTCTCATGAGTTGTTTCTCGCGACAGATTGAGGAAGCATGTCACGGAGGAGACACATAGACTCTTTTCCAATTAAGCAATCAGTTTTATCTATTGTAATTTAACTGGAAAAGTGCTGTTGGGTTTTTATATGTACAAACACATATACATATATATATAGAGAGAGAGAGAGCATTAAAAAGTACAAAAGAGACTTCTGCTTTTGATTAAACATTTACTGATACAGTATGTCCAGCTTTTCTCCAAACATTTTACAGGCTAACAGACCTTAACAAACTTAAAGATTATTACACTCAGTGAACAGCTGCTGAATAAAAAAGCTTTGTGATCTGTTTGAATGAAACAGTTGCACCCCACCACAACCAGCTTTATTTCTCCTCTTCTTTCCTGTCTCATTCACTACCTCTTCTCCTTGTCACACTGCTGCCACGCTCAGGAATAGAACAGCTCCCTATAGAGAAGATTTTGATGAGCTAACACAATAACGAAAAACTGTTCTCCCACGCTGTCAGGGAGCTGTACCTGTGGTGCTCTCTGAGCTGTACTGATTAAGGAGGCTTCATTCTCACTTTCATTTAAGAAAAAAATTTAGTTGACATTTTACTTTGGGAAATTTTCCAGTTTGCGAATGTTGCATGCAAAGTGTGATACAAAAGAACAGATACTCAGCTGGTGTAGTTCTGTTATTCAGTGGAGTTTGGCCAAATATATGCCTTATATGGCCGATTATTTGTATTTCTATGCAACTGTGATCCTTTTCCTTGCCCTAAAAATACACATTTTCTTTAAAATTCCTCAGAATAAGTTTCCAGCATGTTCTGCAGGTTTCTATGCTGTACCTGTAACTATTTTCCTGAGTGACTTAAATATTGGTCATGTAATGTTTATATATTCTTCATGGCCCTAAAACAGGAAAAAGAAAAACCGGAGAGTATCAGAACTGTTTTATAGATTCAGTGCCCATATACTTTAGAAACCTATCTAAATCCTAAAGCTAGTGCTTTAGCTGTGTTTTAGATAAGAACATAAGATCTATACGGAAGTGCATTCCTTCCATTTCCTGGGGAAAGATTGCTCCCTCTTCCAGATGGGTTTGGCTTCCTATTCAGTGCATGAGTACTGTTCAGTTAATGAAGATGTAGATAATGTTCCCAAAAAAAGAAGAATAAAAGGGACTAGCCATCTAGAGGGATTTTACTAAATATTTTAGTTTTGCTACTTTATGCAACTATACATTTGTAAAGACTTTTGAGGTGCCATCTTGTAGCAACAGTTAGAAAACTGTTTGTAGGCCAAAGCCAGAGACCTGAGTCAACAAAAAGCAAAGTTAAATCATGAACATGCTTTCTTTCAGATAGTAAACACATCCTCACTGAAAGTTAAAGATTAGGATGCAAATTCATAGTGTCCTGTAACACAGTCAAATAAAACTGGGCACCTGAAGCACAAAAATGTTCAGTGGCAGGTGGAGTTTGCTATTTGTGCCACTCCAGAACTGCAGACGATACCACTGTAAAATTTGTGTATTTGTATCGCTTCCAGAAATGTTCCTCAGAAAAGCTCCATGAGAACCAGGCAGGCACTAGGCCAATAGTTTGCCAGAAAATTCTGTTTTCATGGAATTGCTTTAGTTCCTGACATATGCCTGTCGATAATACAAGTGATTCCCCACTGAGACAACTTTGTCCAGCTCCTAGTGGTTCTGCCAGAAGAAAATTCTCTTTTGGCGCCCGTGGTAGAGCTGCCTGCCTAGAGACTACAGGGGCTTTAAAGAGGCCTGGGGACCCCATGGGTCTCTGCTCAAGTCTCGGCTTTCTTCATGTGCCAGGCGCACAGATAATACGCCCACTCCTGACCCAAGAAGAGCTCTCTGTTTTCAGCTAGTATGCTGTGTAGAGCAGGAGGGCAACCAAATGTCTTCAGTGGTAACCAGGTGCAACCAGTGAAAACACAACTTAGCGTTAGTGTATTAAAAAATGGTAAAATTAACATAAGGCCATTGCCTTTACTTCAGTTCTGAGGAATAGTATGATGAAAATGCTTCCGTAACGATGATTTTAAATTTTAAAACATGACCCTTGATAACAGAACATTATTTCTTATTAAAAAAACAGCATTACTAAATGTAGTTACTAATGTCTCTTAACTGTGAATATTATTGATTGATGCCTGCTGGTATTTTTGATTTTGAAGTCACTTGGCACAGAAAAGGAGAAATTGAAGGAGACTAGTAATAAATCATAAGTATGATGCTAAAGTAATTGAGTAACCCCCTTTTTAACATTATATTAGTAATGGTTTAAATCATCTTTGAGTATATTCCTTTGGATCAAATTTGCCTGCCTATGTTAAAGCAAAACAAAAGAAGAATATCTTATAACATTGTGTTTGCAGTCTTACTGAATATATGTGTTACTAATATAATAAATATTTAGGCTATGCTTTGTCGGGTGGGCTCTGACTCCAGTATCTCACAAGTATCTAGTCCATACAAAATTCTATTCTTGATTCTTTTCGCCAAAGCCAGCAAAGAATGCATGGAAATGTACTGACAAACCAAGTAAATTTGTTAGACTAAGCTGATCTCTTATGTTCTGGCAAAAGTCTGCAATGGCATTTTGGGAAATTTTTCATTGAACAACATGGGGATGGAAATCATATTGGGAAGCTACAAACATGTATCTGATCAAGGCTTGTTGTAAGCTGGTAAGACTTTACTGGAGTTAGAATTAAATGACTGAGTCAAAAATCTTTTAAAATGCTCTCTATACCAGTAATTTAAATACAGCATTCAGCTTACCAGCACCGTTTATTTAGGAGTTGCTACATGCAGGCAGACTGTGAAGATACTTACCAGTTCATGGCAAAAATTAAAAAAGAATCAGACATCTGAATTGCACTTATCAGAAAGGGCATGAACTTCATGCCTGTTCAGTTCTTGATCTCCAGTGTAATAGATACTACCATGAAGGATAGCGATTCTTTAGATATTAGAGCACTGGCAACTGACAGAGATCATCAGCCCGTAGCCTATAAACCTCTACTCAGATTTAGCTCACAAGCCACACTTGCTAGTTTTCAGCTAAAACCTAGAAACTACAGGGTGGTTTTCCTTGTCAAAATATCCATCTCTTGAATTGCTGCCCCTTTTAACATGAAATTTAACATCTCTTATATGCAACTGTTTCTTCCTACAAAGAAAGGAGGAAGGTATTCCAGTTAATCTCTTTTTCAGCTTTTAATATCAGTGTATGTAGCCACTTTTTATATCTGCTGCAAAGGAATAAATGTGGCTTTTATCTATACCCAGAATGCAGCAGACAATGGAGAAAGTGCAGAAAGCTACTGTTTGGTTACAGGAATAGATCCAACAGCACTGGAAAGTTTCTTTTTCCGTACCTCATCCAAATTACTTGTGACTCTTTCCAGAATAACTTATTACACAGCAAGTATATATTAGAACCTTGTATTTTCCACCGTAGACAACTGGCCAGGGTGTCTGCTTATGTTTTGTTAGTAGAAGAATGGCGCATACCATTGTAGTGGCATAGCTTTAAAATTGATGGGTTTAAGGTTTGATATATTAATTTTGAAGGTGCAAAGTCTGGGACTCCATATAGGGTACTGTATATGTTCTTGATATTATAAATAAATGCTGTTCGCTTTTGATTTTATATAAAAAGATGTGCTGTGTTGGAAACAAGTACATGCATCTGTTGGAATGAAGGAAATGTCAAAGTATATTGAGTGTCCTGTTGTAATAAGAAATTTGTCTTTCTATGTCCAAGCCTTACAAGTCAGTAAAAGGTGATATGCGAGGGTGACGTGTGTTCGGCAATTATTTGAATAGTGTTATGCTTAGACATCAGTTCACCTGTGGAGTCAGAAGATTAGAATCCACAGATTGAACTGGTTATATTCGAGAAAATGAAACTATGCAAAGATGCTTCTTGCATCTTTGCCCTCATATGCACCATGGCAGACTTCTATGGATATAGTTAAAGTAGATATGAGAATAACTGAGTTTTAATTATGATTAATTAAAATTAATGCATTTTAAAATGTTGATGCTATGAATGTAGCAAGTTATAATGAAGAACAGATTTTTTTTCTAACTGTATGCAAGCTCTGAATCTTTAAGGAGAAGCAGCTAATCTTTTAAAATCTCACACCGATAGTCCCAAAGAAGGGTTAAGATTTCATTGTTTTGTGTTTTTAACTTGAGTACAGAAACCCTCATGAGGTTAACTACATTTACCTCATTCTATTCTTACAGTCCTGGGATTGAATGGATACGTTTTACAGTAGATTTTTTTATTTATGTAACAATATTTGACATGAACAAAGTTAACTCTCATTTTTAATATAGGCTACGTCCTTCTCTCCATCTTTTTTTCATTGTATGATAGCAAGATTGCAATAGGCATATAAAAAGCACAAAATTAATCAACTATCTTGGCAATTTAATACCAATTACAAAATAAAAGGTTGCAGTTAAGCATTTATTCTCATTGCTGCTCCTGCTGGTAAAACAAAATAAATGATAGAAAATAAAGTTGCCCTTGTTGGTGTTAATTGTTGAGTTTCCTGATTTTCTTTAGATGATAGTCTGTGACAGAAGCTATTTATGTTCTAGAACTGCTTTTTTGGGTTGTACTGATTTAAGATGGTTGTTAAGGAAAACAGACAATATAGAAAAACAGTATTGTAACTTCCTAACAAAGTAAACATATGCTCCCGTTTTATCACTGCTATCAGTTCCATTTCAGTCTTTGAAAAACATCATCATAGAAAAACAGAGAGAGGAATATTTCAGAAGCATAATGAACAGGAAAAAAGAATAGGGTGAGAAATCAAGAAAAAGGAAACAGATTCTTTAATCTCTAAAAAGATTAGGAGAATTTAGGAGATATTATAGGCACATAGCACTGGGTCATGTTGAGTACAAAACATCTTTCCAGAGCCTTCAACTTCTTCCGGCTCTATTAGGATCAATATTTTGTGCTTAATTCAATTCACAGGTCCAGGCTTTTCTATAACAGTGGGATCAGTAGTATTGGACCCCCTTTCCCTAGCATGGCTGGAAGAACCATGGAGCAATCCAGTTAAAGTGAATTATACAATACAGATGTTAGAATATCACTACTTTATACACAGATGTTAGAATATTACTACTTTATACAATGCATCACTACTGCGATGGCATGATTTTGTGGAATTACTGCTGCGAGGTGTCACTAAAAATGATTTAGAATATTTCAGAGCTGATCAAATTCAAGGTGATAAGAACAGCATCTGCATTTATGATAGATTAAAATAGGTACACAGGTGCTCCAGCCTTATGCTCTAATTATGAAATGATGTGACAGAGGTCTGTGAGAAAGCTCCTCCCATATTATAGCTGTTGTATAAATTATGGAAATTTAATATAAATTCAGAAGTTTTTAGTTCAGAGGAAAATATGATGTCAACAGAGAGTATTTGGAATGCATATATATGTATATATTCCAAACATACATTCTCTCTCTCCAACCACACACATAGACCTCAGAACAAATAGAGAAAAATACTGGGAAAAAAGTACAGATACTGCATATTTGTTTGACTCCGTCTTAGTGTGATAATTAGCTATTGATCATTTAAATCATGTTACAAAACTTTCTGGTTAATATTATGAGTGATTTCCCTTCCCGAGGCTCTCTGATTCTAAGACGCAGTTAAGGGAAGTGATGGCAAACTTATGTATTTGCCCAGAGGTTATCCAAATGCTCATCCTGTCCTCATCACTATTTATGCATTTTACTTAATACAGTGATTAGAAAAGAACAAGACAAAGAGTTACGGGAGAAAGCAGAAAGGAGGACACCTTTTTCGTGGGATTGCCTTAGCCACATGCCTATAGGGCCCCGCAGGGCTCCTCCTGGCTCTTCCTCTTAGTCCTACAAACATCAGTTATATCTGTATATCTGAAGCCCAACTTCAACTGGAAGGGTATAAAGGGCATGGGACAAGGTGTATGAGTTTGGTGCACGCTGGAGGAAGAACTGAACCAAAGTCTTCCATGTCCCGGCCAATCTAGCCAGTAGGATACTGTGTGAACTGATTAGTTGTGGCAGAAACAGCTAGGCTTTCATATGGCAGTTAAAAGCTTAGTCCTGCTTAGTTTTTTGAAGCGCACTCTAGCCTCAGGGAAGGACCCTTCACACTGGCCCTCAAAGGGCCAGAGTAATCTGCTGGCCACCCTGACTCTACGCACGCTCTGACAGCACATGAGGCACGGCAATTGGGATATATTCTTCTCAGCATCTCCTATGGTCTAGCCCAAAGCAGCACCCCAGGAATGTGCGAGTATTTCAAAATACCTTTTGAGTTGCCTAACTTCCATTCTGCATAACAGAGCCTGAGAACTTCCCATATGGTTTCCACTCTTGGAGCCCAGAGCCTAAAAGGACATTATAGCACCTCTCTTGCAGACCTATAGGGCTGCTCTGGGAACTAACCCTTAATGTCAGCCGTGCAAATCTGCTAAAAGGATTAGCTCCTACTGAGCATTTGGGCTTTAGAGCAAATATATCTTCTTATGCTTACACTGGAGAGCATTCACCAAGACAGAGTTTCAGCTAGTGTAAAAAACTGCCAGTCATTTAAATGGAACTTCACATAGCCCAGTAATGTATAGGGGTTTTCAGGAACATACTGTGTATAAAATAAAAATGAAATAATCACAGCCCTAGTTTCCAGAAGTCTTTATGAGTATGGAAAAAATCCCCTCGGACAAACTGAAATGAACCTGACGGTAGTGAGGTCAGTCCTCTGAAAACTTTTCTTTCTCCAAAGTCAGATTCTTATTTGAATCTTTCAGGAATAAACTAGCATCCATCTCTGATCCAACTAACAAATGTTGATAGCATCTAACCTTTAAATAGTCTGCCTAGTTTGCTGCATTGATCCTCCCCTCTGCTGTTTCTGGAATAAGACTTGGGTAGGAGTTAGATGATTAAGTTGCTCACCGCAGTTGAAACTAGTTGTTTCTGAAAATGCTTGAGAAACTTTTAGTGCCTATTAGAAAAGGTGCCTAGGAATTTAGGGCAGGTACCTGTTGAGAAAGGGGGTTACATATTGGGCTACCTTGCCTAAAGCAGGAGTCTGGAGGAATCCATGTTCATGTGGTCTTCAGTGGTCTCCAGCCCTTAGGGAGTGCTCTGTTTTTTAACAGTAACATTGTTTTATCCAAAGACTCACAGCCAAAGGGGACATGAAGACAAGTAGAACTGGCAGTACCATGAAGGTATTATAGGGTCACAGAAATTCTTTAATGTATAGGGACATATTTAAGGAGAATAACTGGAGATGATGTAATGTATTGTTCTAACTTTCACTTTCTGCCATAAATTGTGAGTTTCATATTTTCTCTGTTGATTCAAATTCTCGTGAGTGTCTCTCCTGCACTCAGAAGTCGCAGCAAAGACTGATTGCAAATATTCTTTTGTCTCTGGTTTCTTTTTTTAAAGAGATATGAGTTTAAGCTGTTTAAAGACTTGGCAATACTACGAATCACAGAATTTTCCACTGAATATGGGACTTAAACATCTGCCTTTTTCACCTACCATATCATGGAAAAAAAGAATCTGCTTTTCCCTTTCTTAAAATCTTATAGATCCGTTTTCCTGCTACAAGAAAAGTAGTTACCCAGTGATTCAAGAGCAGTTGTTTAATAAAAATGTGCTTTATTGTATTTATTTCCTTTCAGCAAAGTTTCTAAGGCTTTAAAACAACAAAAAAGACAATATTATCCCACAGTGTGGAGAGTATGCTGAGCTGGTTGCTAACTATAGTTGTGTCATATTTTTTTCCTTTTTACTATTTTGGAAAACAGTACAGAACAAAATAGCACGGTAATTGTTTAGGATGAAATTTCCAAATTACAGTTGATTAAGTTTACCCAAAAGTAGCTAAAAGTCACTGAAAGAAAAAGGCAGCTCTACGGAAAATATTGAAAATAAAGTTTTTACCATTTTACACTGGAAAGCCAATTTGCATAATCCAAACCCAGTCAAAGCACACAGGCTCTTACAGGGTCCCATCCTGCCATACTACACATTACAAACAATTAAAGCATTTATATGTTACATTTCAAATGACACTTCTGGAATTTTCTCTTGTGCATAATTTATTAGATTTTAAGCTAGTGCAAACATTGATAAGGTTGAGGTTTTGGTTTTTTGTTTTTATTTCTTTCAGTTTCGTGTTCAGCTGCTGTTCACTGATATTACGATGGTACAAAAACAAGGCTGTTGCTTTGGGTTTGTTTATGGAAAAAATAATATATTGTTCTTATATGCTGTGTGTGATGTGATAATTTTCCCTGTGAACTATCCTGGTAGAAGTACTATGTCTATGGAATTTGAATTAAAAAAGATTAAATAACTGCAAAGATGTGCACTACAGATTTTTTTTTCTTCCTCGAATCTCAAAAATAAGCAATTATTTTGAAAAGCAAGTATTTGCAGAAAAGATACAGAATCCAGGGGAGGCAAGAAACAAGGGCATCACCAGAAATAAGGAAAAGAATATGGTGTTGCAGGTATTTAACCTCATCCTCTTCCCTTTAGGGTTGCATTCTGTCTCTAAAAACAGTGAAACAATTCTAACGTCTTACTTTATAGATATTTCTGTACCAGGAGTTCTGACAGAGAACTTAAATATACTCAAATTCATTATATTATCATTTTGGCATTTTGATATTCATAAGTGAGATCATCAAAGAAATGACCCAATGCTACAGGGTTTTACTTGTAATGCTGTGCACAATTTAGAATTATCTGCTATGACATTTGATAACTCAGGAAATAAAACAACTTATTAATAGTACAATTCTGTGTATCAACTTCACATGCAAGCATTTCTATTTCTGAAATCCTTCAGCAAGTAAATGAAAAAGATATATCCCTTGTAATGTGTATGTGTCTTTGTTCAGGAGTACACAAAACCAAAATGAGATGTTTTCTAATAGTATTTGACACTGTAAACAATTTACGTCTTCAGTGCTAGGTTAAAGGACTTTTTATTTAGGTTTTAAAATTTTTAGCTGGAGTGTAGGATAATTGCACAATGCTATTATCACTCAAGTAGTTCAGAAAAGCCTTATATCCACGTTATTCTCAGAAGAGCCTAGACTCTTATTCTCCTGTGCCCATGAAGGCTAAGCAAAATGCGCTTTTCACTGTCAGGCTGTTAATGTTTCTTCCTAGCCAACCAAGTAGAACTGGTAACTGATGTGTAGGTGATAATGATGCCTTCCCCCGACCAGCCCTTTCTAAAAAAAAAAAAAAAAAAATTAACAACACTTCTACTAATGTTCCAAGAGAAAAGGGGACTCAAGCATAGGTGGTCCAGGCATATACGTTTTGTGGTATGCAGACATATATGATTATTAGCCATCATGGTTACACCTTCATCTACTGGGATTCCATCCTCAGTAACAAAGCAGATTTGTAAAAGGCCAAAAGATGTGTAGATCCTAATTCTCAGGTCTGCCTTCTAGTTCTGTTTGTTTGAGGATTTTTTGTTTGTTCGTTCTATTTTTGTGTGTTTTCTTCTGTAGGTTTCAGCAGAATATGTACACATAAACACATACACACATGTATGTGTGTATATTGTTTTGTAAATGTTCTCAGTCACGCCTTTTTCTGCTTTGCACCATTTATCCATGTATCTTCCATGTTCTCATTTATTTTTTGTGCAACTAAACCTTATAATAAATTATTATTAAATATAACTTGACAGTGACAGAGTTTGAGTCCCTTGTTTCCTCCTGGGCATTAAAGACTCTGTGTGTGTGTGTGTGTGTGTGCGCGCGCGTGCGTATGTGTGTGTGTGCGCGCGCGCGCACACGCGTTTGTGTGCGTGTGTGTGTGCATGCGTGCGTGTGTGTGTGATGGGTGTGTATGGAGCAGGGGCTACGCTTCTCTTCCATCCCCACTGGCAAGTGCTGAAATACGCTGTTGAGCTGCAAGAAGGTGATGCAACCGTACAGCCGTCAGACAGCAAGCTTCTGTGCATAGTTTTAAATCTGGGTTCAAGGATCCCTGATACCTTTGCTTTTGTCAGCTCAGGGATACTGTTTGCCCAGCAGCATAATAGCACCTAAAGTGTGAAAAATTATGGATATTTCTCATTCTATAACAGCTCTCATATTCTCTGAATTTGAGATACAAGACTGACAAAAGTCACAGATATAGACAACACCAAGCACATTTTCTTTCTCACCCTGTCATATAGACTTCTCAGACAAGAGATTTTTTTCAGACCAAATTAACTTAATGCAAGCATATGCGGCTCCGTTCTGCATATCAGAGTCGTTCTAAATTATTGCTTAAAAATTTACCTAAAAAAAAAAAAAAACACTTAAATTGTAGCAGTACAAATAGCCTTTACTTGTACATATGAATCAGACGATATGTCAGTGCTGTAGGCTGCAATGTAGAAAGACATACTTGGTGTAACATTAAGCAGGTGGGCGCAGGCACCGGCACTGCCCAGCTGTGGCAGCCCAGGTGGCACTGGGAACAGCCACTTTAACTTTCCGCATCAAGCCGGTGCAAACAGAACCCAGTGTAAGATGCAAATCCACTGATGGCACTTTGGTTACTTCATTCTGAGAAGGAAGTTAGCAGTCTTCTCTCAGGTTAGTGTGAGACGTTTCTGCAGTTGACGTAAATCTCTGTCTCGCTGAGCGATGACTCTTCTCTTCTTCTTCCTGTGTGCTGTGTACCATGAAAATTGGATGTTCCATAACTGTTAAGAGGCTAGAAAACCATTAAAAAAAAAAGAAGAAGAAGAAAAGAAAAAGTTAAAAGACTTCTGCAGATAGCTAACCAAGAAAGGCAAAGTTCAGCCAAAGTTCAGCAGAAGAATTGCTTATTTCAATCATGAGCCATACTAGGAGTGGAACTAAAGCACAAGGATTTCACTGGGCTGTGGGTTTCAGTTGCCCTCAGTGTAATAGCAGGAAGACTGCCAGAAAGATTCCCTTCAATAAGGGAAGCCTGAGATTGAGATTTGTATTTAAGTAGTACAAAGCACAGACACCTTTTGTATTTCAGAAGGAGATGAAGTAGTGAAAGGTTTTGCGGTTTGAAAGAGTGGAGACAGGATGACAGCTTACAAAAAGTTAGCATTTTTCGAACTCCGAATTTCTGATATGGAGCCAGAATTTTTGCAAAACAGCTGCAACTTTGAAAAAGGAGAAAAATGACAAATTCTCCTCATTTGCTAATTTATTATTCAGAAATGTTTAAATATCAATCAAAATATTTTTTATCTTGGTGTCTTGTACTAAATAATTTCACGTCCAGGTCATACTAATTTCACGTCCAGGTCTCACACAGGTAAAGGAACAGTGGCCTGCCTCCTTCCCTCTGACTTCAGGTATGAAAATAGTAACCTATGCTGATCTTAAAACACCAATTGTTCCAAAGATATTGATCACACTAAGAGTTAGTAATGTTATTAGGACAACTTAATGTGATGGTGACTTGGCTAACTGGCACAGGAGGAAAGATGGTTTCTGCAGCAAGCAGCTAGTCCCTGGCCTGTAGTTGCCCCACAGTCTGCTTCGTTCCGGTGCAAAGAGTGACACAAAAGCGAGAATGAGCGAAAAGGAAAAATGCAGGATGTCAGTGTGTTTGTAAGGACATATCTACCATGATGCTCCCTGCAGGGTCACACAGAAACGCCAGCTGAGAGGGGATAGGTGAAAAGCTGAAAAGTCTCACATCCACCATGAGAATGGAGCCATTTCCCTGAGCACAACGATACAACCTGAATCCAGGTATGAAGAGAAGAGGTAGAAGCAGTGAATTTGGCTCTTATCTTTCTGCTTGTAAGCTTCAGGCCATAATAAGGATTTTAGGGAAAAAAAAATCACAGAGTTTCAAAAAACTGATTGTTACAGTACAGAAAGAAAGGAGAAGCACTGAAACAGCTGTCCAACAAAATCTATGGAGCTGAACAGAAGAAAAAAGTAAAGTCAGTGCCATCTACATCAGTGCACAGGATAGCATTTTTTGCCTTGTTTTTCATGTGGTTATTTAGGGGAAAAAAGATATTACCAATACACAAATACTAAAAAAGCTGGCAATCCAAAAAAGATATTTTGTCAATATTATGCAGAACAGTTGGGTCTATAAATATATCTATAAAACATTAAAGACTATTAACAAAAAATAGTGCATAAGTGTTAGTCATACTTTAAAATCTCTGATTTTTCTTGTCTATATAGTTTAAGATTAAACAAGAAGATTCAAGCGTTATATACATCAGGCACAGAAGAAAAAGATGTTAAGAAATATATAATATCAAGTACAAGTAAATGCCAGCTGATCTTACCTGCAGCTGAGTAGAGTACAAAGCTTTTGCTGAGGCCTGCGTGATCCTCTTCTTCTTCTTTCTGGGGATACATATTCAGTCAGAAACATAATGGAGCAAACTGCACCATGCATGATAATTCAGTCCAAAATATCTAATTCCAGCATACAAGAGATAATGCTGGTATAGTTTATTTTCCTACCGAAATCAATAAATACAGTAAGAATCCAAGTAGCTTTTCCTCTGACTTGCAAACTGTAACATGCATGTGATTAGTACTGCTTCATAAAGGCCTGGATCAGATAAAAAGACCTTCCTATTCAAGCAGATCCAGTAATATATTTCTGACAATATTTCTACCAGCTTTTTATATTGTGATAAGGAGAAGAAATATTTTTTCTGCTCACTATTTCTTTTCACTGGAAGCAGAGCTCATGGGTCAGTCAACTAGTACGTATTTGGCAAGAAATACAGCAAACTTAGGTAATGGTTTAAATGATTAGTTCGGGTCTGTCCATGAACAAATTTGGAACGTAAAATCAGAAGGACAAAAAGTGCTGGAAGATCTAGAAGAACCTCAAGATGGCACCTGTCCTTCTCTATGCTCAAGACAGCAACACCTATGCCTGTGTTATTCCTGACAAATCACCCTTGGCATGAAGTCTCAGCTAATACCCCTGTAAGCATTTAGCTGGCTACAGAACTTAGAGGAAGCTGATTTTTTTTTTTACTATGAAAAAAGAGAAAAAAAATGAAAAAGTTAACTTTTTTTAAGCTTAAAATTTTGATGAGAAAATCTGAATTTTCACATCCACCTTTTTTTAACTGGCTCTAAAAAAGATGTTAGAGGATCAGCTGTCAATACCTTCATATTTTCATGTTTACTCAATAAACAAAGCAAATTGATTTGTTACTCACTTTTTGCAATAATCAGAAAGTAACAGTAAGAAAGCAGCAGAAATTCCTCCAGCGATGTACTTAATAAACCACTGATGATCCAAAGTTGCTAAAATATGGTTATAATAAATACTGTTAGCATTCTGGAAAAACAATATGAATTTTCTATGATAGACTAAGTTGAAAACCAGCAGTTATGCAGACACGTTATTCCATGGCAGCTCCTACTCAATATTCAGACCTCGCAACCAATTCCTTATTTCTAAAATGCCTTTGTTATGCTGAACTAGCTCTTACAAGAGTTGTGATTGGGATGGCGAAAGGTGAGTGAACACAGCAAAGCAATATGAAACAAAGTAAATGATGCCTTGTATATTCCTTTCCCATCTCCCTCCCTCCCTCCCCTGGTGAGGAAAGCAGACCAACAGCATATACAAGTGACTTGATATATGGATAATGAAAGCACTCAAACTAGCTATGGGAATGTTATTGGTACTGTAAAAGTCCTCCCATAGGAGATACCAACAATCATGCAATACTTCCATAGGCAACAAGATATTTTTCAGAGTACCAAAAAGAGCATCTCAGTCCCCGAGTGGTTTTCCATTTAGTACTACACAGTTGTATCAGTTTTTTACTGCTCTAATTCAAAAAGAAATGTTGTGATTGGATCACTTCTAGTATCAGTCAATATATTCTCATAGCACTCAAGATTGTGGAGTGGTTGTGTAATATTATTCTCATTTTTCAGTAGAAAAACCTTGAAAGAAAGAGAAGTGATGTGTCCAGAGTTACCCAGGAGGTTCACAACACAAGTCCTCAGTACAGTTATTATACATTTAAAACGCTCATTGTAATTTTTTCCCCACTTGTCACAGTCCTGAACTTTGCTACTGGCATTAAAAAGAAAATGTGTGTTAAACCACTAAACTTCAAGTCAACTTTTTGTACTCACCACAGTGCCCTTCTTCCTGCTCCTCTGTTGCATCTCTGCACTAGCTCTCTGTAGATTTGAGATTGATAGCACAAAAAGCAAGCAGACTTAAAACAAGTAGCATGTAGTAAACACTACCTTATATGGGTCATATTTGGCTAGCAACAGCAGCTACTACCTGTGCAGGTCTTAGCCAGTTGGTTTTACCAACTCCGGCACTCTCTAAGGACTCTACTTGTTAGCAGTGTCTTGAAGAGGCAAACATTAGATGTGAGTCTCTACAACTACATGCCAAAGAAGAAATATTTCTTGCATATTCTTCAGTTACTGAACATGTAGGAGTAAAACAAAACAAAGAAAAGCAAAGAAATGAGGATGCTCTGGGATGGAAGAGGAGTAATAAAAATGGTGACTTCACTATAAAGAAGTTGTGGAGATGCCTCCTGTATTATTACAAGAGCTGGTGGCCCTATCTTATGACCACAACGCTGTTTCCTGTTTTACAAATAAAGACTAGCATTTTATGGGAGAAGGAGCAAAAAAAATCTGTCTGTAGGCTAGTCCCTCTTCAGCATTCTTGACACTGTACAGAGAAAGACAGTATCTCAAGATGAAACAGCCATTGCCCCCAAGAGCTTGTGTTCTGCATAGACAGGAAAGTTATGTGCCCAATACATAGGAAAATGAAAACAATTAACATCACTAATGACAGTAATCCCAGCTGACCAGCTGCTGAGCCATCATCAGAAGGCTTTTCTGTCCTGGATATCATGGCTATGATAAGAGGGATTTGAAAGAGGATCAGAAGGGTTCACAGCTTCTTATCTGGCTGTCCTGAATACTAGTTGAGACTTGCTCACTCTCACCTCTTTGGTATTAATGTGCTCATTGGAAAGAATAACAAAAATACTGATTATAGAATAGTCTTATCCTTGAATTTCAATATTATTTTATTGGAAAGAAAAAGAAAGAAAATTCTCTCAGAAGCGTATGTTGCTGAAGGTATGTGTCACATTAGAGAAGGCTGCCTGGTAATACAAGCTGATGTCTTTTAACCACATGTGAAAATACTCTATTTTAAGCATGGTTGCAATTGCTAAATACTTAAAATGGCAGGATAGCTCATATATCTGTGCCCAACCTCAGGAAAAAATGATGATGCCTTTTTTCCAAGTGTTTAGCTACCCAACACAGGAATCCTTATCCGTGCCAGTGAATAGTTACAGAGACAAGAGGAAAACACCCTGTAAACAACAAAGAAACTTTAAGTTTTTAGCTGCTCTATTTAAAATTCTGTGTTTAACTATCATCACGAATGGGTGAATCTGGACAGAGTTCCAGAAATCAGCAGCACTCCAGCCCTGGGGTCTGCGTACTCCAAACTTCATTTCGCTTTTCGTGAAGTTTCGCCTTGAATTTTATCAGGCCCAGATAATAATCTCTCAGTGGAAAAAAAAAAAAAAAGAGAGAGCTGGGATTATCAGCTGTCAGTTAAATTTGAATGAGAAAAGTAATTAGGTTTTGCTTCAGAAGCAACAAGAATTCAAAGTCCTTTCGCTTCTTCACAAAGAAGAAAGCTTTGCTTCACCTTTTGAGGTGAGCAAAGTTTTCCTGATGTTTTTATTTTCCTTAAATATTCAAAGCCTATTGTAATTACTGACGCAATTTCTCTTGAGCACTAGACAACCTATCCCTCTCTCGCCCAGCTTTGTATCCTTGGCATTTTTCCTACAATATAGAGAAATTTCTTGGGTGAAGGCTTTCAACCTTCAGTGCACTTGCTTTGGGTTTGATGAGGAAGCACTAAAGGGCCAGGCAGCTATTTGTTCTCACAAGAGGTTTGAGCCACGCTGTAAGGATCTTGATGCAGCTCGTCACATGCCTAGCTGGACTGGCACATATGGTATGCTAACTACGTATCTCTGAAACAATTTTCCCCCCACGCGAAAGGCAGAAATCCAGTATGAATGCATTTCAGAGAAAGATGCTTTGTTGAATAAGAGACCCACAGAAGCAAAGTGATATCTTACATTTATGTGGAATTAATTTACAAAGGAAAAAGGAAGGCAATCTCATTCCTCCCTTGATTCTCCTCATCCCCTACCATTTAGGGAAATCTGTATCTATAAACTAATCTATAAACACTCACTCTCTTAATTTCTATCTATTTTTTATGATGTATAAATCCACTCCAGCTTGGGACGCTATGATAACCCTCAGTGATTGCATATGGAGTCCTCAGCTTCTCTTCCCATCTGCCACTTGTGTCCCAGTGCTGGGTTTGTCCTATTCTGGTCTGCTATCTTAGCGATTGTCCGCTTCCTGTTCTCCAAAACTGAGTAAGCAGTTTTGGAATGAAAAGGTTCCATTGTAGCTAAAAATAGGATTGGAGGCAATTTAACCGTGCCCTGAAGCTTAAGCAGCCCACCTTCACCTGTTTTAGATGGAAGTTAGCTGTTGCATGTGATTTTGATTATTTGGGAACAAAGATAACAGTTTGAAAAATCTGCGGATGCCCATGTTACTGTTCTTTAGAAACAACCGGCTCTTACAAGCAGGTATTTAATGTCCACAAAGAGACAAATAAAGCTGTGTTTTAAAGGTGTTTTCATGCAGAACAGGTGGATCTAAATAGATGGTTAACTGTAACAATTCAAAACACGTTATCCACTTAGCCCAAAGGTCCACCAGTAACTTGATAAGCTACGTATCCAAAAGAAGCATGGACTAAAAAAAAAAAATGTATAAACAAAAGCCTTCTATATGTCATCAATACAAGTCCCACTAGCATGCACCCAGATGCAATTCATCAGCCTCATGCATAAATTACCAGCGTTCTCCGTACCGGGGATCACCCTTAGGGCAGCCTCTCAAACTCTGTCCTACACAAGCAGCAGAGACACGCTGCTGATGCTGGCACTGGCAAGCTACTCCAGGGCCATCCTCAGCCTTTGAAACAGTCAAAGTGGCATTTAAAAAATCCATCTATAAGGCAAGATCAGAAGGGAAAAAGGGACTGTCTTAGGCTAGGATGTTTTTCTTTCTTCCCCTGTCAGTGCAAAGAGGTGTACTTGCACTGCAAGCTGCCATACACGCTGAGCTCACATGACAGCCTGGTCCACTGACAGCTGTCATGATTGTGAGAGCCTGTCACAGTCAGAGTGATGGCTGAAGCCTCCAATTCTTTAACACTGAAGTAACTTTGCTCACTGCTTCAGTTAAAGATGTCCTCAGCCAGCTAGCAGACAACTTGCTGAGAAACTGCATTTGCACCTGATTCTGACAAATGGAAAATGGGGACCTGGTCTGTTTGGGACCCGCTTACACCCTTCTGACCACAAAGCGTTTGTGGACACGGGAGGTACACACAGCTTTCACAGCTATGAAGTTACTGTGGGAGACTTGGCACGTAATATGTGACCTGGAACCAGAGTACTTTAGGCTGAGGGACCTCTGGAGGTCATCTAGTCCAACTCCTGCTCAAAGCAGAAGAGCAAGGTGCTCAGGGCTGTGTCCAGCTGATTTCTGAATATCTCCAAGGATGCAGATACCACAACCTCTTTGGGCAACCTGTTGCAGTATTTGACTGCCCTCATGTTTTTCTGTTTTGTTTTGATTTGTTGCATGTAGTTGGAATTTCCCATATTGCTGTTTGTGTGCTTTGCCTCTTGTCATATCACTGTGCGATTCCAAAAGTAGTCTTCTCTGTAACCTCCCATGAGGTAGCTGAAGACAGCAATAAGATCTCCCCTTAGCCTTTTGCTCAAGGAGCGTAAGCATGGAAGAGCACAAAGACTCTTGGGATATTTTGACTTGGAAGGACTGAAGGAGGCTGAGAACCAAACCTGGTGTAATTAATGTTCATAATATATACAGGTTTTGCTCTGGCACAGAAAATCCTCAAGCCTAAGTTCCCCAATCAAGCAATGATGTGGTATAACCCAGAGCCTAAAACTAACTTTTGTGTGCTCTGAACAAGCAGGGAACTACAGCTATGCCATAAAACAGCATATAAAACTGCTTGACTTTACAGGTATACCTAAGGTTACTGCAAGCAGAAAATTTTATTTGCAGTAATATGGAAGCATCATAGACAATATAAAGAAAAAGTACCATTCAATATTTTTGTGATAACCTTTTAAAACTACATCCCACTTTGATGCAGCTGGATAGAGCTCCAATAATATTCATAGCTTACTTTGTTATTCAGGAATCACAAAATTCACACATGCCCTTTCTTCTGTTTCAGAAGACATTTTAAAAAGTCTACTGACAAAATCTAGAGGGCTCACCTTTATGTACTGCCAAGAACATATAATACAGGTAGAGGTTGACATTTTCAAACTGGAATACCTTGAAATTGGTCCAATTTTCAAATCTACTTGGAATACAGTAATGCACAACTTTTTCATTTTCCTTTTAAAGAGCTTGCTATCTCACTTTCTGCTAAAGAAAAAAAAAACTTTACTAAATATTTCTAAAGATGGCTAGATTTTCAGGATGGAATGATAACTTATTATTTCATCTTTTTAATTTTTCAATTCTTTCACATGACTTCTGCCGTTCTTTCACATCTATCTACCAAAACAATGCACAGATTATTGTAAAGACTCCTTCTTTCCTTCAAAAACATGGTGAAAAACCTACGAAAAAACACTGTAGGTAAAAATCAGAAATGAGCTTCGATGTGGGATCCGGTGACACAACCAATCTCCGTATGAATAGAGCTTTCAAAAGCAGAAATATAGTGATGAACATATCAGAAATTAATCTAAAGTCTCCTGAACACATCATATGGTTATGTAATATTCAATCTTCTGTTTCTGTAGCCGTTATTCCACAAAAGCTACACAACTTTACATACACTTGTCACTTTTATGCTTTCTAGGGTTTAAAGTCAAAGAAAGACATGCAAAACACCCATTTCAGCTGGTAATTCCTATTACTGAAAAACAAAAGTCACAATATGTAGTAGGATAGAAAGAACAAATTTAATGGCATTGAACGGTCTCATGGGTTTGTTTTTACTAATGCCGGAAAACACTGAATATAGCTTGATGACTTTTACTGGCACAAATGCAAGAATAACAAAGACTGTCCAAACATTTGAATACCTGTTCTCCCACATTTCTCTTTTCTGTTCATAGAAATTCTGGGCTTTTCCTCCTTGCAGAAATACATTCCCCCTTTATACCAGAAGCAAGCCTCTTCATTCTGCTGTGCCATCTCTCATAATCACTGCTTCTGAAACTATTATGAACTCTGCAAATAATCCCTAAATCCTATTTCCTTATTTCCATCTCCCTTCCCACAAGATTTCTCCTCTTCAAAAATTCTTGGCATCTTTTCAGCAGCAGCTTCTCAAAAAATGTTTCTTGTCTTCCATCTTACTGTCTCTCCACTAAAATGGAATGTTTCCCTATTGTTATTCACACTGCAGCTATTCTCCCAACTCTGAGGACTCAATATTTCAAAACATCTTTGGAATTGGGCAAGGTGAGAAGATCTGCAACATCCATGTAGAATCACACCAGCAGAAGGAAGACATTGGAAGAGTTTGGTAGCAAATCCAAGCTAGAGTGTGGCTTTGCTCTAATGCTGATCCAAACAAAATGAAGTGACTGAACTGATAGACTGAAAAAAAAATAAATGGCATATCAAGTTTCTGTCACCACTTGGTTCATTCAAGGCACAGATGCCAAATCAAGACAGTGCAGAGACTTCACTGGCTGTCTCACAGAGTGCTGCACAAGCTGACACGTGATCTGTCTCTCCTTACCCATTAGTGAACAGAAAATATATTCATTGCACTATAGTTCAGATCTGCTTGATTATATGAATATGGTCAACATTGTGAAATCTGAGTGTTTAAAATAGTCAGAGGTGGGAGGACTTCTACATCTGAAACCTCTCTGCCTTTTATGACATTCAGTGCAATTCCATGGACTTTTGTGGTTGATTATTCTCAGTAAAATAGATCAGCCCTTTTTCCCCAGTGCATTCTCCACTTCTCAATAACCACATCACAGATTAAGCCCCACGCCACAACTCTTGGCACTGCTAAAGAGATGTCTCTTGAACACTCATTTATTACTAGGAAAAAAGGCAATGCCCTTAAAGATACTAGAAAGCTTGACTGAATGCTAAAACAGGAGAAGGACTAAGGTCATACAAGAATCTTATCTTCCAAATGTATTTTTTAAAGAGCAACCCAAAATTAGTCTTTTTTTTCCCCAGTCATAATGGCAAATAGAAATAAAGGTGAGATTCAGCTCACAGTTTGTGAAATACAGTTTTAGTGCATATGGATACACAAGCTGCCATTATAATCAAACTGTGACAATGGTCACAGTAAAACCTATTGAAAGCTACTCAATTTACCCTAAAGAAATTCCTTACATGAATAAGGTAGCAGGCATTTTACAAATGTTTACGTTTTCAAATAAAGGTGTGCTCTTTCCTTTTTATGAAATACAGGTCTCTCTCCTGCGACCTCGGGCTGTACCGTGCAGACGCTTGTGCTAGTGGAGACTTCTTCCTCGAGTGCCTTCTTCAGGGGAATACCAACCTCTCCCTGCAAATTTAGGCAATCTGTCCTCTTCCAAAGTGTCTCCTTCCTAATACCAGACTACTTTCTCACAAACAACCCTAAAGTCATATATTAATATCAGAGAAGCTTAAAATTCGTTCCTTACTGTGGAAAAAAAGAAAAGAAGAAAAAAATTGTTAAGTTTGCTATTGTTTACATGCTGCTAATTTGAATGTGGTATTCATTTGTTATTTAAGTGTTACTCTGTATAGTAAAAGTGTAATACCTCCAAAGGTCCTATTTATGAAACCATTTATCACTTTGCTTCTTCACTTACCAGCCACTATAAAACTCATCGCATAGGTTTTGTTTCTTCCGGTAGCTACACAACGGTATATTGCAGTGTCAGAAGCTGTAATGTTTTGAACGACGATCATGGAGCTTGCCTCGGGAGCACAGTCCACCAGTGTACGCTCTTCAAAATCTGAACCAAAATTTTTCTGCCCTAATGAGTTACACAGGACAATGCTATCTATCCGATCTGCTTTAATTCTTTCCCACACCACTTGCTGCACTGAACCTCCAATTTTATAAGGGCAAGATAAAGTGACATTGCCTCCTGGCTCACGAAACACAGGGTTATTTTGTTTCTCAGGGACTTCAAAAGCGTCTGTTGAAAAACATAAAAAACAGCAAAAAACTGCTTAGAATTCATTCAAGAAAAGTTCAACATCAACATTTCCTGAATAGCAAAAATGAATGAAATTGGCTTACAGCGGAAAGATATTCAATTTGAAATACTGAAAAATAGCTTTTATACATATATAGACTATATTTCTGTGAGTATCTAGACAAAACAGTAAACTATGGAGCTCTGAGCTGCTGTGACACTGCAAGAATGACATTTCAAAACATTTCAAATACATTAATGCATTATTAAAAGTTTCAGTAAATATTCAACGACAGAAATTGTAGGATCGTTCTAATTAAGTTTGTGGTAGTGCTGGCCTTCTAAAATTCTGCTTTCATGCTAATTATAAAAAAAAAAAATAGTTTGACATGACCCTCAAGACATTCCAGGTTATGAACAACTGTCCCATTCACAAACCTCACCACTCAAAGATATAAAAAATTTCTTAACCACTCACATGCTCTACTTAGGAAAATCCTTTGCAATATTCAGGCTGTCGTATGCAAGGACACTTCCAGTTAAATTCCAGAGCTCAGTCCCAAGTAAACCATAGATATATTTTAAATCATTTTGAGTGAAATTTCTCTGCTCAGAGCTATTGCTTTTAGGAAGAGTGTTCACTGTTTATAGGTTAAGAAAATTAAAAAAAAAGTCTTCTATAGAAAGTTGTCAGTATTTCTGATATTCAGGGCACTCAATAGCCATTTGTTTTCTGAAGGCAGCTTTATAATGCATATATCTTCTAAGTAAGGACTAGTACTGGCATCTTTTTGAGGACTTTAGAGTTGAAAAAGATTAATGGTCAAACTGCTTTGCCTGCACTGTAAAATGACTGATCTTTCAAGCTGTTTAAGGAGTTTCTTTCTCATTAGATGCCGTTATGTCAAAAAATGTCACCAGTATGTATTTCTTATATGTTTGCCTCTATATACAGTAACAACTGGAAACAGAGACAGAAAATTAAAATGTGCGTGGGAAAAATGATAGTCATTAAATGAATCAAAATCTGTCTGGCAGGTTTGAAAATGAAGCTGTAAACAGCGATTCATGGAACAGCATGGATCCAGTAACACTCTGGCTGGAACAGATTATGCTGTAAGGCTATATTAGGTTTAGATAATGTTTGGTATAACATTTTTATCAAAGACCTAAGGGAAATAATGCTGGTAGACTTTATTGCTGTGGATGCTGGTAGTGCCAGGGTTGTCAAAATCATAAGTATTGGAGAAATGACCGATACAGGGTGATCTAGTCCAGTTCTTAAGCTAGGTATAAACAAAGGGTAATGGGGTTTCATGTGCCCAAGTACACTGCCCTAAATCTAGGAAAAAGTGACTCCATTCATATTGGACAGAAAGGCAACTTTATTGTGGAAGCCTGAGACTCTGAAAAAGATTTGCACGCTCTCTGTGAAACAATGAAGAGTATGAATGAAAAAGGTCAGCTATAATTTTTGAATATTTTATCAATGGAACACAGCACAGAAAAAATTACATTCCCTCTGCCTTTGGAGACCAGAAGTATAATTAAAAAATTTAAATGATGACAGACAAAAGGAACCATGTCTAATTAGTTTACCTAAAAGAATTAATGAGTAACTTGACTGCATGTAGATTGCAATCAAGTTAATGATAGACAAGGACAGAAGCAAGACGAATTCAGACTAAACAGGAGGTACAACACAGTTGTAAGGTAATTAACTCCTTGGACAACTTGCCAGAGATGGTTAAATTTCTGTAGCTGAAGAAGACAGCCAAGGCTGGATAATCATGTAAGAGATCGTGCTAGCTCCAGCAAAAATTTACTCACAGAAGTCTAGCTATTGCTCAGATCAGATTAAGTGACTACCATCATGAGACTCCACACTTGCAAGAAATGCTCCTTGAAGCGCAGACCCCAAGATCCAACCCTGCAAAAGCCACTATACTAGAACAAGGTCATTATTTTATGCGGAGCACATTCGGATTGCCAGGTGAGAGGGCGAATTTAAAAAGAGGTTGCAATCCGTATCTCTCTCACCCATCACATTCTTACAGGTCAGCTCCTTTCCTCCAGCTCCACTTTCCAGATCACCAACTTTCAGTAACTACCCATTTTACAATAAATCACACATCCTTCCATGAGTCTTCAATAAAAACTCATCATTTTCTTCACTTCAACACCTTTGCTGTCCACTTCCAGAAGCAAGCCCTACTGCTACCTGCACTCTCCTCAGGACACTCCAAGTGTCCCCCTCTGCTCCTGAGTCCTTCATTTCCTGCCAAAGGCACCGTGGGCTGGTGGCTTTGGCAGGAAACTAGGCGTTTCTCCCGTCTAAACGTGCTTATTAAGGAAAGTATGTCTGTGACAATGTTACCACCCTCCTAACAGAGGTTTGCGCCCAAGCCAAAGGGCAGTAACCAGGACGAGAGGAAAAATCAGCCTTTTCCCTTGCTCTCCTGCTGTTCGTTTGCTAGGAAAATATACATTATGCATGTAGTGAACTGTGACCAAATAGGCAAAAACTATTCCCCCATAATCATATAAATCCCTTCTGCCTGATAATTTACTAGTTAAATCTTTGTGTTCTATTTGTCAAGATATCCCAGGTTCCCAATAATATATCACATATTTTTTGTTTTGCACATATATTTTAGTTGGCAATATGTAGCAACATTCAGCCGTTTACACTCTTAATAAAAGATTTAAATCAATCCCATTCTTACAATATGGTACTGTGCACAAAATATATGGTTATGTAGGAATCAGGCCTACATAGTGGTAATTAAATTTTCCAAGTGCACTTAAATGTTTCAGGCTTTTGTTTTAAGTAATTGTTCCTTTTATTTCGGCACCAGTATCATCTTAATTCTTTCATCCTCCCTCTCCTCTGTTTAACCACTTTCTTTATTTAGCACCTTTCCGAACACAGTTTCTTTGCTTTCAGTCTGATAATGTATGGGATGAATACCTCCCACTCCAAGAAATACTTCTACAGAAAAAGATACACCCACATACCTTCACCTACACGCATACACAAAACTCAAGGTAACAATCACGCGTTAACTATTTCAGGAAATGCTAAAAAAATAGAGCACTGCATCGGATAAAAATAGAATTCCCCTTCCCTCTGTTCATTCCAACGACTGCAGCTGCTGCCTGCTCTGGCAATGTAATCTCTCCTCCTGGATAAAAAATAGTAGCAGGTGAAGTAGGTGCATTTGCCTTTGCTTACCAAATAGGTGCTCTGTGTTGGACATCCCTTTCAAGTCTCTTTTGGCATAGTGCTATCTCATCATGTCTTGTAATTACCCATATTTCCCTGTAAGACTATTAGAAACATAAAGGGGGAACAAATCTAAACTTTCATATTTTATAAAACATAATCTTTCAATATTTTTCTTGGAAAGCATTTAGTGAGTCAAGTAACTAAATTCAAATGCTGCAGCAGGGAAATTGTTGAAGTTAAGAGAGTCCATTTTCAAGGGGAAATAAAGTAATGCTTTATTTTTCCCCAAAAGGAATTAAAAGTCAATATAAATGGTATGTAAATGTCAAAATGGCCTACTTTTTTGAAATCGAATGCTTGTTATTATTTTGATCCCCATTGTTTTGGCCAGGGAGATTTTCAAATTCTCTACTTTTTGGTTTAATTTACAACAAGAGGTCTTAACCACTTCTATTACTTTTCTCATTTTTTGGACTGTGACAGGATTAGCTGGTTTTATTTCTTCAACGGAAAGTTATTTAGATATCTGGACTTGTTTTCAGCTAGTTTATTCATTTTGAAAGTCAGTGTCTATGACGTTTTTATTACTGTTCATCACAGGTTTCACTAGTCCCAGATTTATAATCTTGTACAAGGTTCTACGGTTTCACTCATACACATAAATCTCATGCATTCCTCCTGGTTTAAAACGATACACAAAAGAAAAACAAGAATATATGCACTTCAGCATCAATCCTGCAAACTCAGAAAGGCAACATTCAGTACAGTAAAGCAAAATGAATTGAATCAGTTATGCATTCCTTTGGCTTTAAATGTCTCTTTATCTTTGTTGAGGCTTAAAGGTTAAGTAAAGGTTAACTATTACTGGCACTATAACCGTTACTGGCTAGACGAACATAGTTACATCAACTTGTGCCTGCAACACACGCTGCCTAGCAGTGCGCACAGTGAGTCATACCATGCGTTCGGACATCTGAGCGCACAGCCCGTTCCCACATGCTCCAATGTACCGTGACAGCAGGAGATGCTCATACTGAAGGTAGCAGAGCCGCCTTCAAAGTAGCCATCCTTAGGAAGTAATGTTTTCCATCAGAAAGAATAAATTACCTTAATAGATTTCTCAAAACTGTAAAGCTAACTTGGCTGTACAGTAAAGATAAGTTCCCTGCTCCCTCTTGGTTTGCTTAAGCTCTGAGTATAAATACAATTTTCTTCTTCTACTGATAATAAGAAGTGACAAATAAATTGAAGATGAAAAGTAGGTTCAAAATGTTATGAAAATGAGCTTTCTCCAGAGCTTTCTATCACCATGAAAATCCACTTTCAGATGAGAAAATAATTTCGGAAGAGTACTCTCTTCTTCCTTCCTGAACAAGTGAAACATGGAATGACATTTAACCCCCAAAATAATATCTTCTCACTGTATTAACATATAAGATACAATTTTGTAGAGTCTCTAAAAATATTTCACCCTTTTTTGGATAAAACAGGGACATTAGGATGCACAGCTCTTAAATATGTTGGAGAATTAATGGCCAGTAAAGATCTTTATTTCTAACAAGGTGTTGACATCACTCCTACATGGAGACACAGAAACTAGAGAGTAGCACAATGCTTGAAAAGAATGCGCATTTCTACCGGTGACAGTTCGGATTATAAAATATAAAATGAAACAATTCATGCTCCTATACTTCTTAAAACATCCCTTTAATAATAAGTGATATTGTAACAATTTGGTGAATCTATCTGTACTATCTATTAATTCTGCATGAGGTTTTAAACACTCTGCATGTAATTTTAACGCATCTGCCAATTCTAATTTGTTTATGTAGATTGCATCACTATTGCTATTTTACCCTGTCTTTAAAACTGAATTTTAGTTAGTTGGGGTGCAAGGAAGGGGAGAACTGAAGAGAGGAAAAGAGATTAGAATTCTAATAATAGAAAGAAATTCATCCTCTATTCAGACACAAACAGTCATGGATTTCTAGCAAGGAGAATTTGGTTTTTTTTTTGAGGAAGTAGCTATTCAACAAGAGCATATGATGCACTATCCTGGAATCCAGCCACAGGAGTCTTGAAAGTATGAGAGGTCAGGATCTCAGATTTGTGTCTTCTACAGGAGTCATCCTCTCAAGTTGAAAGGAATTCACCAGCGGTAGGAATTCAATAAAAAGACAGAAGAAGTGACATAGACTTCCCAGCCTTCACTTACTTGCTAATGATCCATATTTTCTCCCCATGGATGAAGAGTGCTGTGAAACTGTTTGTCACAGCACGTGTGCGTGTTTGTACGGGTGTGGGAGTGCGCCTGCCTGCTCACATCGTCTACGAGGCTCCTGAGGGTTCAGACTTCAGGTAGGACAGAGGAAATGGTGTTTTAAGTGACACAGGGCAGAAGAGTAAGGAGAAAGGGGACAGGAAAGGGTGTCAAAAGTCAAACTGACCCCTAAGGACAAATATCTGAACAGATGTTTCTCAGGAGGGAATGCCAAGGATCCAGAGGCAGCGGTTAGCACACTTTCCCACTCTGCCCAGTCCCAGCAGCACTAAACAACACAGGAACGCTAACTCAGGATGCTCGGTGGGGAATTTATGCCCCACATCTCAGAACCTACTTATTAGTTTTAATGGGTTGTTTTAAAGACTGAAAATATATTGGAAAAGAAAGATAGATGATACAGTTTGTTTCATAAGAAGTTTGTTATGCAGTTTGGTACCAGCTAAGAAAACAAAAGAAATCACTATATCATCAGTATCCTTTACTGAACGTTTCCTTTCTATTTATTTCTGTCCTTATTAAATTCTTAATTATATTTCCTGACAGGCCAGCTGAAATCTAAATCTGTAGTTTCTTCTATCCTCTGCTTATCTTCTGCCACTACTTATTCCATAACTTAGCATGTATTTCCCCCACATAAAATATTGCTCAATCTGTCCCAGATAAATTAATACCATCTTCTTAATTTTAAATATTTTAAAGCTATTACAGTGTGCTTTCTATTGTCCCCTGCAATTGCATACTGTAATGATTTCCAAATTCCATTATCCCAAAATTTCATTCATCACATTTATGCTTTCATGAGCAACAAACAAGGTTATAAAACTCCTGAGTCTGGATCTAACTACTGGATTCCACAGACGTACTGGTTGATACTAGAGATAATATGCTTTAGTTAAGTTGAATTTCACGGAGGTTGCTGTAGTGTCACAGAATTAGGGAATAGTATTGGAGGAAATGAAGTGTTTTGGCTTATATAGACAGGGAAATACTTGAGAAAATAAAATCCAACTGAAATTCAGAATTTGCTGTGTCTGACGGTTCCTTTCCCCTTATATAATTGCCATCTTTCCTATGCCAGTTTCACAACTGAAACCACTCAGCTTTCCAGTTGAATACTATTATGCAAGAGCAAGTGGACTAATTACTGCAGAATCACAGAACGGCTGAAGTTGGAAGGGAACATTTAATACAACTCCCCTGCTCATAGCAGGATCAGCTAGAGTAGGATACCCAGGACCATGCCCAGTTATGTTTTAAATATCTCCAAGAACAGTCCAAGGAGTTTCCACTCCACAGCCTCTCTGGATAACCTGTTTAGTGTTTGACCATCATCACAGGAAAAAGTTTTTTCTTATGTTTAAGTGGAATTTCTTGTATATCAGTTTGCCCCCATTCCCTCTTGCTCTCTCAATGGACACCACTGGGCTAGCTCCCACTGGTGTACCAACCACTCCTCCCAGTTTTCTATCATCTGCAAACTTGCTGAGGTTCCATTGTCCAGGTAATTAATGGAGAAAATAAACAGCATTGGCCCCAGTGTCAACCCCTGGGGTACACCAATAGTAACTGGTCTCCAGCTGGACTTTTTGTCACTGATCACAACCCTTTGAGTCCAGCAGCTCAGTCAGTTTACCTCACTGTCCCATACTTCATCAGTTTGTCTATGGGGATTTTGTGGGAGGCAATGTCAAAAGCACTGTTAATGTTGGGATAAACAACACCCACTGCTTTCTCTTTGTCCACCAAGCCAGTCCTCTCATCACAGAAGGCTATCAAGCTGGTTAAGCACAACTGTCCTTCATTAAACCGTGATGACTACTCCTGATTACCTTCTTGTACTCAATATGTTTGGAAATGGCTTCCAGGAGAATTTGCTCCATCACCTTCCCAGGGATCGAGATGAGGTTGATCAGCCTGTAGATCTTCCACATCTCCTAGATCTTCCTTGTTGCCTTTCTTGAAGATAAGAGTGATATTTGCTTTCTTCCCCAAGGAGTCCTCAAGAACCTCCCCCAGTCACCAAGACCTTTAAAAGATAGTTAAGAGTGGCCTCACAATGACATTGGCCAGCTCCCTCAGTACCCATGGGTGCATTCCATTATGTCCAATGGACTTGTATGTGTCCAATTTGTTTAAATGTTCCCTAACCTGAATCTCCTTCACCAAGGGACATCTTCCTTGCTCCAGACTTTCCCTCTGGTCTCAGGGACCTGGGATTCCAAAAGGTAAACAAGGCATTGACTATCTCAACCTTTTCCATGTCCTATGTTACCAGGTTCCCTGCCCCATTCAGCAGTGGATCGCATTTTCCCTCATCTTCCTTTTGCAGATGAAGTACTTGTAGAAGCCTTTCTTCTTGCCCTTCACATCTTTCACCACATGGGTATATCCACCCCAGATGGGCTTTGGCTTTCCTAACCATATTCCACATGTTTAGACAGTGTCTATGTTTCTACTGGGTCACCTGACCCTGCTTCCACCTTCTATATGCTTTATTTTTATGTTTGAGTTTAGTCAGAAGCTCATTGTTCATCCATGCAGGCTCCCTGCCACCTTTGCTTAATTTTTTGCTCATTGGGATGGACCATCAGAGGACGTGATCCATGTGATCCAGACCAACCACTCTCTCTTAACCCTTTCCAATCCATGGTTGTATCCCATGGGATACTTCCAAGCAGGTCCCTGAACAGGCCAAAGCCTCCTCTCCTGAAGCCCAGGGCTGTGATCTTGCTATTTCTCTTGTTCCCTCCTCTCAGGATCCCAAACTCCACTGTCTCATGGTCACTGCAGCCAGGGTTGCTCCTGACCTTCACATCCCCGAACAATTCTTCCTTGTTTGCAAGTATGAGGTCTATCAGAGCACCTTTCCTTCTCAAATCCTTGCTCACCAATGTCAGGAAGTTATCATCAATGCGTAAACCTGGATTGTTTATGCCCTGATGTATTTCCCCTCCACAGGTATCAGGATGATCAGAGTCCCCCAGGAGGACCAGGACCTGCAAATATGAAACATCTTCCTGTTGTCTGGAGAAAGTCTCATCTGCTTCTTCTGAATCAGGTGGCCAGTAGCAGACCCCCAGTAAAGCATCACCCATGTTGGTCTGCTCTCTAATCCTGACCCATAAGCTTTCAGCTGGCCCCTCACATGTTCCATGGGGCTCACATGTTCTGGAGACAGAGCTCCATGCATTCCTGATAAAGGGCAACTCCCCCTACTTGTCATCCCAGTCTGTCCTTCCTAAAGAGCTTGTACCCATCCATCACAGCACTCCAGTCCTGTGAGCTATCCCACGCTGGTTCTGTGGCTCCTATAAGATCTGCACGCAGAGCTCGAATTCCTCCTATTTGTTCCCCATGCTGAGTGCACTGGTTCACAGGCATTTCATATGGGCATCAAGTCATGTTGAGTGCCCAGAAAAGGTATGAGAGCTTCCTCCATAATGCTGTCCTCACAGCATTTCCTTGTTTGTGTATATATCCTCAGGGTGGGCTTCCTTCTACTCTGCTTTGTTGCAAATTCTCTCTTGTCCACATCATCCCACACCCTTTGTTTTGCTTCCTTACTTGTTTGTGAGTCATCGGCTCCCTTTCCTGTCGTTCCTAGTTTAAAGCTCTCCTCACCAGATTGGCCAGCTGGTTGGTGAAGATGCTTCTGCCCCACCTGGTCAGGTGGATCCTATCTCTTCCTAGCAGTCCTCAATCCTCAAAGAAGGTCCCATGGTCATAAAAGCCAATGCTCTGATACTGACACTAGCTGCACAACAAGGTATTGACCTGCAGGATCTGTGTTCTCCAAGCTTTTCCCCTTCATCATCAAGGTTAAAGGAGAAAATCACATAGGACCCCATATCTTTGACCTTAACCCCTATCACCACGTAGTCATGCTCGATGTGCTCCAGGCCTTCCCTGGCCATATTGAGATGCACAAGTGAAAAAGCAGCGGGGGATAGTAGTTTGAGGGCTGGGCAATCCCCGGTAGCCTCTCTGTGACTCTCTCAGTTTTAAACAAGAGATGTTTGGGTTAGATATAATGGAAAAGATTCTCATTGCAAGGCTGGTTAAGCACTAGGATGACTGTGTAAGAATAGTGTGCATATATTTTTCAATATGGGAAAGAGGGATGATTCAGATATACCTATTCTGCATCAGATCTCAGAGATGAGAGAGATGATTTTACAACGTCTCTTCCTACCTGAATTTTTCACAATTCTGTAATTTCTTTTATCTAGCCTTTCCTTCACAAGGGAAGAGGATATAACTGCTCTGCTCCCAACAGTTTCTTTTCACTAGTCCTTTATACTGAGGAGGCATCCAATCTTAAACTCACCACAGAAGACAGATTTAAAAAAAAAAAACAAACAGTACTTAACAGGTCAGTAACCACAGTAGAGGTATGAAAAAGGCAGCTTCACTTGGCTACATCCTCTTCCTTTCTAATTAGGTGCTGACAATGTGGTTGACACTGTATAAGATGCAAAGATAGTTCTTGCTCTGGGGACCTCAGTCTAAGAGCTGAAGAATGAAGATCCCTCAGGATCAGCTCTTGCTTCCATGTGCTTCGAAGGGCTGATATTTTTTCACTGTAGACCTATGAATCACATTCTGAATTGAGACAGAGATAAATAGAAAGTAAGCTATTTCAGGTGAAGAGGCACATGAAAAAAAACTATGCAACATACTGCTTTTGGCAGGCAGAAGAACAGTAATATAGAAGGAAGTGGTGAGTGGCATGGATATCATCATGCTAATTAAGAATAGAAAAGCTCTGTCTCTGCTATCACAGGATAAGTTGATCACTCTGTTTAAAATATGAAAGTGCCTCATAGTACATCTGGCATTTAAATACTCCGTTAATGAACTTCCATTGTTATTCAGAGTTGCTAGCAAAAAAATATTTCCTCAGCAAATGGTCCATCCTCATTGACTGACAGAAAAACAATTTTAATCATGAATTTAAAAATATATATATTTTGCAATAGTATGAAAACAAAGAAAAATAATAATAATTATTCTTGTAATTCACATTACAAGCTATAAAAGTCACTATAAATGTCAAAAGAATGCTTCCCATTTCAGCCAGAGCGTAGAATGGGAAATTTTAAGTCAAACTGACGATACTATTTTAGCATCTAACTGAAAGAAAACTATGGAGAAAATTAATGTAAGATTCAAAATATACCAAAAAGTCATGTTAGAATTCAACAATTTTTAAAGGTAAGTAAGCAAACACAGAACAAAAACATTCCAAGTAATTTTAACTAATTCTCCTTTTTCTGTAAATAAATAAAGGACATTGCTGTGACATAAAGGCCAGTTTTCATTTAGACATTTTATATACCACAGTAGTTTCCTTGCTGAAGACTTTTGACTTTCTATTTAAACGTGTAACAAAGGCATAGTATATAGAACAATATCAGGTTTTGCTCTCTCTACTGATGTTTATTGTATTCCATATTTCAAGTTATATCTGCTCTGTAAATTTGAATGTTATGTGTTTTAAGGCTTCTAAGCCAACCTTAACAGAACTAATTCTGTGTCACAAAGCTCTTCACAGGTTGATTTACTTTGCTTCTAAGAGTTTTTGCCTACACTCAATCATCCCTGCTTCTATTAACCTAAAAATAGTCAATATTCTAATTATACAGGTTTGCGGAAACTTAAATACACATTAATTGTAACATTTCAAGGCAACGGTTCATATAGGACTAACCTATTAATAAGTCAAAATGGCTTGTGAGGACATGAAAACCACATGGAGCTTGATGCACCTATCACTATTTCTCAAGGCAGAATGAATCAGAGACTAGTTTGTGATTGTTCAGGAGGAGGCATTGATACAGGGGCCTGGTACCGTGAAAACTGTTGCACTGAACTGCAACTGACAGAGAAATGTCTCGTACTTTCAATAAAGAAAAGGGGAAGATTATCATTATGGGGAATGATGGTACAGAGATATAACTAAGTAATAGTGGTTGTTCATGGCTCTTTAATAAACATCATAGATAGGAAAGTGCAGTAGGAAAAAAGTTTTAGGTAGTCACTATATAGGAAGTCTGAATTAAACTCATGAAATTCAACAAAGTATTGTGCCTGGAGGACATTTTAAATGTAAGTTATCAGTATTTCATTTTGTCAAGATGGGAACTGGGCGTAAATAGCCTTCAGATTTATTGAAGTCTTATGATCCTTTAGCACCTTTAGCTAAAGTGAAAGACATAGAGGTATTGTTGAAAGAATAATAAAAAAGGCGTGCTTAATTCTTTTCAATATTCAACTTATTCTTTTTCTATGTTTTCGTTTGAAAAAGCAAGTCATGATCCCCAAATGCTCTGAACTGCTTAATTTCGTAAAGTGTCAGGGTCTTGTTAACGTTTCTGAGTTGCTAGGGCTATTGACATTGATTTAACAGACACTACTTGTCATACTTGCTCATTAAGCATTAGCACTTGATGCTTTCTATTATACAGATCAAAAATGTCCCCAGATCAGAATCATACTAGTTCAACCCACTTTATATACACTTAGGTTTTAAAATTTACACAAAGCATGTGGGAAAGGAGAATCTGTCCCGTGACCTGTGTTGATTACCAATAGTGACTCACCACAGTAACTTTGAACTGTTTGAGTGCAGAAGCATCCACTATTTTGCAAATCAGTAAGAGTTAAGTCAACATACTTCATCCAAATTTATATAACTGCCAGCAGATATGTTTACCATATGAGAAGCATATCACCTAACACTTTAATCTAGTTCATAATCACTGTCAGTCATAAGTAACAGTATTACAGTACCCATGCAAACTCTGAAAGCCAGTCAGATATTCTGGGTCTGTCTTCTGTTGTTAGCTTTCATTGAGGTCTGTGCTGCAAATTCATCCATGGTATGGATCCATGGCCTACTTATGTTAGTTAGTTAGGAACGTCTATAAGTGCCAGAGTAACCAATCCTAGCTTCACAGATAACTCCTGAAACTTCTCAATGCACAGGCTGCACCAGTTGAATCACAAACCAGGCTTTGAACTGATTTAATCAGTTCTGATTGACACAAAAGCCTAAATACTATCAGCCTAACCTCAATCTGTGCTAATTTACCAGAGTAAGTTTAAATGCTGTAAATGTCCACAAATGAAGTTGCATCAGTTTAAAGGCAGCTTCAACTTCAGCTTAGCCAACTAATCTGCTCAGAAGACTTTCACCTTGAGCGTAGTTTTGTTTTACGTTGTGCTAACAGAGCCCTTCTGCAATATCATTGCAAACTAGCGCAGTTCAGGGGCCACCAGTGCTTCAGCCTTTTCCCGCTATTTCTTTCTTTACCTAAAAAAAGAGAGCTCAGGCCCAATGAAAGCACATCCTTCACAGAAGCAGAGACTTAATCAGGACATGTCAATGATTGCAAAAGTGTATTTTAAAACTCAGTGCCACCCAGAACACATAGGGAAACTTTAAAAATTGAATCTAAGCAAATGGTAAATAATATCTGTTTGCAGAGAAGTAGAATGTCTGCAGTTCAAAAACTCATTTTCACTACAGCACCATCACAACAGAGCCATAATGACTCCAGATTCAACACCTGAGCTTGCTTATGAGTCTGTAAAGCACTAGAATATGGAATTCCCTAAAAATATAGATTTTCGTCTCTTACAAGTTTCTTGACCAACTGTTGCAAAGAGAGGAAATGGATTTTGCAGTCAGTTGTTTGTTTATCTGGGGTTGTGTAGGTAAATTAATGCTTTTGGAAAAGTAACGCGTATTAAGAATCAATAAATTATAAATCTTAATTTAAGAAAATAATGTAATTCAAAAATTTTCAAATGCCTATAAAATGACCTTTCTATTATGTTGTTCAGATTTCTGTACACCAGAGAATATCAAATTCCTTAAAAAGCACTTCATTTTCCAGGACCTCAACCACTGAATAGTGGATGGATATTCACCATACAGAACACCCTACAGATCCATGTCCCAGTATTAGACCAATACTTAGTTTTCTCAAATCTACAGAAAATTCAAAGATAAAATCAATGTCCTAATTTTACTGACTGAAAGACAAAGAAGAAAAATTATGTATCCATTGATGGCAGCAAGCTGAAACACTGGCTGCATGGAAGTAAATTTAAGAGTAATATAATTCTTTTCTCTCGCCACCACATTCCTCCATTTCCATCTGTTATACAACTGAAAAGAAAAAGTATACTGTCAAATACTCCCTAAACTAGTATGCATTTCTTTTACTTATACCAGAAATTTATAAAACAATGAAAGATTCACTTACCTGGCTGAATAACCTTTATTACCTTTTCCCAAATTCCATCTGGATAAGTTTGAATGGAGCAAAAGTAAAGACCAACATCTTCCAAAGTGCTCTTGATGAAGAATAAGGAATTGTCTTCCCTGGAATCATTTTTAAAATGAATTCTTCCTCTGTAATTATCTTCAATATGTATGCCATAGTCTGGATGCAAGACTGCTATATTTTTTGTGTGAGTTGTATTACTTTTCAGCCAGGATGTCTGGATTACCATGGCTTTCTTCGGATATACACAATCCAGTGTCATCTTCTCTTTAAGTTTTACAGTTGAATCCACAAACTTTCCTTCCACATTGGCTAAAACATATACATAAGTTTAATCTCAGAATTAATGTCATTAAACTTTGAAATAATAGCAAAACTCAGAAACAGTTTTGGTAGCGCTACAAACAAAACGCTGAAAAGTCTGAAGAAAATTTGCACTAAAAAAAGAACCCTAGATGTTATCATTACTTTTAACTTTTGAGTATGACTGAACGCCTAAAATCTGTTTAAACCATACAGTAACACTTGTGAATTATGATCATATCTTTCATGATGTAAGAAAAAAAAAAAAAAGAAAGTACTTTAGGAATAAGGCTAAGCATAACTAGGAATAATAAATCTTACTTCCATAAAGCTGGAAAGCAACAGAAAGAAAAGTTACAGGGTCCATCTCAAAGAACGCTGGACTCAACTATTGTGTGGTAGGGTTTTCCTGGGTCTCTGTGCACTGTGGGCCTTTCTCACTGGAAGCTTTTACCTTTGAAGCATGAAACACATCACGCACTTTTTACTTTCACTTTCTATAAACAGGAAGTTTGAGATCTTGGTGCAGATGCATCAAAGAGACAATAAATGCCAATCAAAATCCACCTGAAAGAAAAATTTCGATTTTGAATGAATCTCTAGGAATATGTTTGAATATTATAATAAGTGATGAAGGAGGGATCTTTGGTTTTCTCAGTACAGATGAAATCCTTCCATGCCATATAGCCAAAAATAAATAGAATTTCTCCACTTTTCTGCCGTTGCAATTCAGCATTTTTCTCTTTTTCAAGGAGTATGAAATTTGGAAAAAAAGATGAGTTCCCATTTGTTAGAGGTTATAATTTTGTGACTAGTTATAAAAGGTAAAGTCTTAAGGTCTGAGGGTTTCTTGGTGACAACATGTTATGAGACAGTATTTTGGGATCATAATTGTGCAACTTGAAATTTCTTCTTTGAGAAGAAAATTCTTGTTTAAGAATCCTCAGTATCTGTGGCTCAAGTTGAAGTTTGTCAGAATAAAATTCACTCTCACAATTCTGTGTTTTTTTCTCAAAACAACTGCAAGCATTTTTGCACTTCAGCAGGCAATGCCACAGTTTTATGGAGCTGTTTAAAACTGGAAAAAATATCATGATTGATTGAAGTCAAAATTAAGCTTGAAATAACAGGTTAAAGTTATGAACTGAATAGATAGATGCAATTTGACCTGAAGCTGACCACAGAAATAAATATTTTAGGTGAGTTAAGCTCTTATAAGAGCTTGAGCCAGACTTAACATTAGTTCTGTTTGAGAATCCTCCCACAGTGCATTGATGTGTCTGGAAAATAAAATTTATATGTATTTATCTGTATTAAGGCAGGCATGTCTGCAGAAACTCCATTTTGCCACTTCCTTCTTCAATCTGTAACTCTCCATTGCTGTTGCTGCACTTATTTCTACTCTACCTTGTCAATAAATACAGAATCTACTTATTTAACAATTAAGTGATTGAAAAATTGTTCTCTACCGGTTTCTAACTCATGACTATATTCAATTTTTAACTCATTTTTTAACTACCTGAATGACAGTCCGTGTTTGCTCTCAGAAAACAATAAAAAACAACGCACTTATATGCATATATTACTAATAATATGTTTGCTAAAATTTAGACAAAAGAAAATTGCAAAGATTACTTTGCTTGGTCTCTTAAGCTCATATAGTTCCTGTATTTGTGTTGTCTAGAACAAGCTTCACATAGGATTCAAGTCTTTTATTTTTCTTCTTCTGGATGGCCTGTTCTAGGAAGGGAGGGGATCTGAGGTTCAATGTGAAAAGGCAATAAAGTTTACTTTTCTTCTCTCATGATTTTTATTTTTTTAAGGGTAATTTCTTGGGGTTTTTTTCCTGATGAGAGCTGTAGACTCATTAAGTAAGTGCAATTGTTCTAGGCAATCTATTTCCCCCTCATAATAGGAAATGTTCAGGTTTTTGTTTGTGACAAAGTTCTAGCCTTTAAATCAACAGGTAGGCTACCCACAGATCAAAAGCTCCTTAAAAATAGAAAAATAGAGTAAGTGAAATCTTACCGAGAAAATTGAGCTCAGCCTACCAAATGATGTATATTTAACAAAAATGACTCTCCATAACAATTTCTAATGACCTTATCTTCGCAGTCTCTCCATTTGTGTGTTGTTTTCATTTCAATTACTTCTGAATATTTCCTTGAAGACTGGAACTTCACAACAGTGCAAACTTTGGGGACTAATGAAACTTATAACTCAGCCTACTTCATTTAAGTAACTTCATGTTTTCTAACAATAGGACCTGCTAATAACTGAGCAATTAAATTTTTCCGAGGCCAAACTGAAATCTGGATTTACGAAGTATTCCTAGGTAGCCAGTGGCCTGTCTGATGCTAGGTGTAAAAATTTAAATAGAGAAGAAATGAGGTGAAGACTTGTGGTTTTATTAGTATTACAGAGTTATCTTATTTGATCAGATCAAAAGATTACCTTATATTTATCTTGCCTCAAGAAATAGAAGTATTACTGATAAGAAAAGCAGGAAATGGGAAGCTTCAGAAACAAAACTGCAGATTTTGTATTGGAAAAGAAAGGATTTTGTGAGGTGAAGAGCTGTGGTCCCTGGATGCTGTACAGCCTTGTGAGATGCCTTTTCGCCTTTGAACCAGCTATGCAGGATCTATATATTCTCACATTTAAATCTATAATAATGTCAGTGGCTAGCTGTTCTCAAACTATAGTTGCAAGTGAAGAGACAAAAAGACAAAGTACTTCTCTGGCTTGAAATATTATTCTTTATGTCATGCTACACATGTATATCGTAGTGTATAGCTCTGTGGTGTTTCACAAAATCTAAAGTGGAAAGAAAAAGATAAATGTATGTTAATAACTTTTTTATTATTATTGCAAATTAAACTTACTACACATCTGTTTTCCTTAATTGAAACTGAGATGAAGTGTTCAGGAAGTCTCCTAAATGAAGACAAATTCTCTTAAATGAAAATTATTCTTCACTCATCTGCTTATAAATAAATTACTATTTTATTGGTCTGAATTTCATGCTCATTTCTCTCCATCTGACATTAAAGGAAAAACAGAAGAATACTAACGTCTAGCCCCGCATGATGACAAAGCACTAAGTATTAGGACACAATAAGTTGTTTAAAGAAAGACATTTATTTGTCGTATAACAGGGACAGTTACTGTAAAAGTAATGCCAGGGATTACTGGTCTCTAATTCCCCAGCAGGGTCCCTTGCCATGTCTGCTAAAAGAAGCAGCCTGTAACAAGATCATTACTGGGTCACCCTGTAAAGGCTGCAACAAAAGACCCCTCTGGATGCCTGGGCAACGTGGCCCCCATATTAGAAAACTGCAGGCATTGTAAAAGCTGGCTCTACAGATGCAATCTGGGAGCAGGTACACACTTCCAGTACCATATTTTCACATGTATAAAATGTAACCTTAACAGTATAGCTAGAAAAGCAGAAACACAGACTGTCTCTACCAGGCTATCCTAGGTAGTGCGAGTGTCAGAGCACATGGCAGAAGGGCAGGTCCATCTCGCAGCCCGCTTCCTTCCAGCTTCCTGCCATGACCTCCCTTTCCTCTTATCCCCCTGTCCTCCCTAGCACCAAAAGGCTGGAAAATTCGCATATCTCTGATCTGCTGTGGAGGAAACTCTCATAGCAGCAACACAACTCATGCTCACCCCGTCATGTTAAGGATTTCTTGTTTTCTCTCTCTCTGCCCTCTGTCCGCCATCCTCACTCTTCTTTCCCAGGAATCCCACCTTCTCTCCATTCTTTGAAGCTCAAAGCAAAGGAAGGAGTCGGTCCCGAAGACAATCAAGCCATAGTTAGGTAGTTGTTAGCTAAATGCCAAATACATCTTAAACTCAAAAACAGCAGAGTAGAATTTTCCAGCTGCATATTTAACTGTAGGATGTGGTTTAAAAGAAAAGCTAGAAAGAAACGGGAAGAGAAAGATAGCTGTGCAGTGAACATAATGGCGATCAACAACCTGGATTTTAATCTTGACTTGAACACACTTCTTCTGTGAACCTGGATGAGTCATTTCGCTTCCTGGTGCATTAATTTCCCAAACTCAATACACAGATAATGCATAATGAACACAGCTGTTTCAAAGCATGTCACAGTGGTCTCTATAATGAATCTTTTTAATGAAAATGGCTAAACAGGTGTGAAGAATAAAACATATATATAGGGCCAGCACCATATGCTAATATTCTTTTTAATGTTTCATTAGAATTTATGATTTAACATATATAGATAGGCCTATAGCAATACTGGATAAAGAGAGGCAAATACACTTGCAGACTGCTGCTGCTACCAGAAAAAAAGGCCTTGACTGTGGCAGTATAGTGAAGGAGATGGTAGCTAAAAGGGTGGACCACTGCAGGTACCACTTCTTTACCTACAGCTCTGCAAATGCTCTGGATAGGTTGTCCAGTTTCAGTGACTCTTAAGTGAAGATAAGGAAGCAAATGAGGTGAGTGGAGGGAGGGTTTTGCAGTCTTTGAGCTTGGTGTGAGCTTCCCCTGAAATTCAGTCTCCTCTCCCCCCGGTTAACCAAACTGGAAAGGCATTTCAATTATGAATCATATAGTTCCCTATTTGTTTATGGATGATGGGCCTCCTGTTGCTGGTATACTACTGTTAAGGAAATTATCTCCTTTTCTGTTCATCGTTCTATGTTTCCTTTAACGGGATGGCTGAGTGGTACAGAAGGATAAAGGCACAATAATTCAATCTGCTTTTTCCTATTCTGTATCTCATCTAATTCCATCAATAAAGCCCAGAACTGGACTAATGTACAAGCATGCCTGATTCAGTACCATAACAGATAGTTACCTTTAGTATGTATTCATTAACCTCAGAAGAGAAGTTAAGTTAACGGCAGGTATTCTTCCAAAGAGAGAGGAGAAAGCTGTGAGTTAAAAGCAATCATATTTTAGAGATATGTTGGTAAAGATGATTCAGAGAGAGAAAAAAGTTGAATCTAAAAATATAGAAAAGGAAAGAAAATACAATCTACATAGTCAAGTACTCAATAATTTTTTTATTATTAAACATAATGGCCTCAGAGAAGCAACACTATATAGAGTAGAGTATCTGTAATAAAATGCTTCAACCCAAAATAATCTATCTTTGCAAGAGAATATGTACACAAAGGACTGTATTTTTACATTTGTAGCACTGGAAAATTATCAATTTACATTTTTGGAACTGGACTGCAAACTAGATTCTCATTCTGCTGTAACATTGAGCACCTAAATGGGTCAGGAAACTAGAGATTGTTCGTGATAAAACATCAGCTATAATATGAAGGCTAGATGACACTAAATATTGAGATACACGAATGGTAATTTCTCAGGTTTTTC